TGTGAGAAAAAAGATGTTCTCCTCTTAATGCTTCACAATTATATCACTCGTGTAATTTCCACAAACAAGCTTTTAGCTTAAGGGTATTTGCGGTATGACATGTTTAGGCTAAAATTATGCTAATCATTTTTGTGTTAAACACTCACACTCCACAACCCCGCCCTTCCTGTTGAGCTCTGAGTGCTGTTAGTCGCCTGCAGCGTGCTGGAGCATTTGACGTCAACCAGTCTGCTCAGTATTCAGCTCCATGAAATGGGTCACAGCTTCTGACGATAAACCAACTGCACTGCTCCGCTCTGCTCTGTCTGCATCTCACCTTCACAGCAGCATCCGACAGTAAACATACTTGTAATAAGACCCACTATGTTGCTCTGATGTACCCTCTACTTTATGTCAACCACACCTGCTGCTTACTGCACTGCAGTAATTAGATGGATTGAATACATGCACTCACATTCTTGGTGTCAATTTTCCTCTTCAGGTGGAGTTTGTGCCAATCTCTCAAACCTAATTCCTAGATGTGATTCCCAGGGAACTTACATTTCCTGCACTTTCTTTTGTATTGCATGAACAGGCAGGTCTTTTGCCAACCCAATTTATGTCCACGTAGGTACTAGACTTAATAACATAAACACATCATTGTTTAACCCAGTGCAATGTAACTGCAGACTCCTATAGAGTGCCACAGTGACGCATCCTAAAACCCGGAAGTAAACTCTTTCCGGTTCCTTTGACGAAAACCAAGCTTTGTTCAGCCGGATAATATCCACATGTCTACCCTACTTTTATAATTTTCGAATCATAAATCTATTGATTAGATTTATGATTTGAAAATTATAAAAGTAGGGTAGACATGTGGATGTTACCCAGCTGAACAAAACGTGATCTGTCTCTTCAATTTGTGTCAACCACAGACCTTATTTTGAGCTATTTTCCAAAATCCTATGGAGAAATTGCATTGGTTTTTGTCGAAGGAACCGGAAGTGGTAAAATGCTAACTTACTTCCGGGTTTTAGGACTGTGGCACTCTATGGCTGAAGTCGAATAGTCCATTTAGCTTAGGAACCTTCCTAACGGAGTGAAATGACCCAGAAGTCCCTCAGTGGCAGCCATGATAAGTGCCGTTCGAATTCTCTAGATCAGGCGTGTCAAACTCAAGGCCCGGGGGCCAAATCCGGCCCGTGACTTCATTTTATGTGGCCCCACAAGTAGGGCTGCTCGATTATGGCAAAAATCATAATCTCGATTATTTTGGGTCAATAATTGATATCACGATTATTAAAAACGATTATCCATTTACTTTGAAAACATCCATTTATTGAAAAAATTAATTAAAAAATTGAACCGTATGTTTTTAACAGTTGATTACCCTGAACTTTAAGTATAATTCAACTGAATTATTTTTTTTAAATGATAGTTTTATTTCGATTATGTTGTTTTCATAAGCGTTGCAAGTAAAATCGTAATTGCGACTAAAATGATTAATTGAGCAGCCCTACCCACAAGAGCTTGCAAAGAATATAATATGTTTGTTACATGGCGATTTACAGAAGCACGTTGCCCATAAACTACATATCCCACAATGCATCTCTCATTTGACTTTTTCTCAGATTTGACGTTTTTTCTTCTAAATATGCCTTTTTTTCTCAGAATTGACTTTTTTTTCAAAATGTTGCTTTTTTTCAAAATGTTACTTTTTTTTGTTGTTGCTTTTCTTTTTAAATCATTTTTAATTTTCACTGAACAGACTTGCAATTATTTGCCCTAGACGTCTGCTTTCAGACCGAGTTAATTATGAAGTGATTACCCTATCCAAGAATAATCCAATGCAGAGGCAATGATGTAATATAATACATTATTTTATATATATTAAATATTTATATATGTAGTTTTATATAGTCTTAAAGTTACAACCGGCCCTTTGAGTGCAACCATAATGCGAATGTGGCCCGTGATGAAATTTAGTTTGATCCCCCTGCTCTAGATGATAGGAAAGGAGGTTTCAAACTTCCTTTGTAACCTCCTTTAGCTTAGGAACCACTGGACCTCCCTTGACGAAAGGAGAGGAGAAAATGCTGCCCCACAATGCCTTGCAGCCGCAGCATTTGCCGTCACACAACAGTCGGCCGTTCACGGAAACAACCGATTATGACGGAGAAATTATATCATGAAAGTTACGGTGCTTATTAAGCATTTTAAAACGTATGTGGTAAGTTGCCAAAGTGCTTTGTTCTGAACGTTCATCAGTATTATAATCAAAAAGAGAAATATGAACGTTAGTTTTTACTGAAATGATCAAATAAAGTCAACATTTCGTTTCATACTGAGCTGTGGGGTTTGTTCAACTTTTAAAAGATGTTTGAATGGTGATATACACAGTGATAGATGTTAAGGACTAACGTTTATAATAAATACATTTGTATTGATTTTAAGATCTTTTCATAGTTCATACAATCATATTGGGATCATTTGTATTAATGTGGACCGGAGGGAGAGGGTGACGAGCATAAGTTTCACTTTCCTTTTTTATTTCAATTCCAACTTTGGTCATGAAGAATATGTTTCTCTGTTGTCCACGTTCATAAAGCATAAAGCAACAGCATCAGAGCACGGTGCAGAGTCTCTAGATGAGTTTACAGTAGTCCGTGGTTCTTATTGAACATCCATGTTGTAGTCCGCTGTATAGAAAACTGTAGTTTCCATAGTTTCCCCACAGCAGCAGACGCACATTCATGACGTCCACTGCAGTCGGATTCTCTAAAGTACCGCAGTCTCTTCTCCTAAGTCCTTTTGAATTCTCCTATCCACTATCCCTTAACCCCGTGACGTTTCACTCAGAGGTCAAGGAATAGACGATAGGGTTAGACCTTAGACCTATGGGTAGACGTTAGGAGCTGATTTTTTGGATTATCCGACCGCAACCTATATTCCTATAGAGTGGCGAAGTCCCTCCCTTTCCGGGGGACCTCCATGGGACCTTATTTTGGAAAAGTTATGCATTGAAGTCAATGGAGAGAGAAAGATTATCTTTCGATCCCGTTTGAATTGTGCCACGAATTACACATATGATGTTTGTCAATTTAAAAGATAATTTTGCAAGTCAAAACAATTCAAATGTGTCGTAAAACTGTGAAGTAACACTTTTTTTTGTGTGAACCGCTCAATGACCTACATCTCCCGTCTCGCACCACACACCAAGACGGCCGTCACGTTGGCACATTTCACCTCTTTCTTTCAGAATGAGGCGAAAAGTATTAAAATAGGTTATAATCACTACACGTCTGGGCATGTTGAGAACTGTACACACATACAAGGGTCTTATAAGGGGAGGGACTTCGCCTCTCTATACATAATTTTTTCGAAATAAGGTCCCATGGAGGTCCACCGGAAGGGGAGGGACTTCGACACTCTCTAAAGTCGAATCAATGCCTCTCTCACACCAAAGAGAATTCATGCATGACTAGATATTATACTGCACTATCATTTAGCATTACTGCTGTGTACTTCAGAAATGTTAAATTGAGCATGTCTTTGTGTTTTTGTCTGGATTGGTTTTCTTTGACGGACAGGTTTTTGGAAATCGACAACTTGTGCTCTTAAAAATGTTGTTTTCAATCTTTTTCTATGATATTATTCACTACACAATCAATAAAATAAACCATCTACCTTATCTGCTGATAAGGAAGCTTCACTTACTGTGAGATTGTCTGGCTGCTGGCTCAGTGTGTCGATTGTTCCTCGTTAATCATCATGATGCAGAAGAGGACAAAGGAAGAGGATTTAGTTTCACATTTGTGTGTGTGTGTGTGTGTGTGTGGTGTGTGTGTGTGTGTGGTGTGTGTGTGTGTGTGTGTGTGTGTGTGTGTGTGTGTGTGTGTGTGTGTAGTGTGTGTGTGTGTAGTGTGTGTGTGTGTGTGTGTGTGTGTGTGTGTGTGTGTGTGTGTGTGTGTGTTGTGTGTGTGTTGTGTGTGTGTGTGTGTGTGTGTGTGTGTGTGTGTGTGTGTGGTGTGTGTGTGTGTGTGTGTGTGTGTGTGTGTGTGTGATGCATTTTTTTCTGTTTATATAACTGTTTCGAATTATGGAAAAAGGGTGGGGGTGGAGGGGTAAGTGACCCTGATTGTCTGATCCTGTAGCTCTCAGATTCCATGGCAACATCAAAGGGTCACAATGATCATGAGAAAACTAAGGGAGAATAATTCTGTATCTGTTGATTCACTTTTCTGGATTCATAAATTAATCCTATAAACTCTCAAATTTCACACATTGAAAAGATTCCATTTACAAAGATGAATGAATTTCCAAATAGTGATTAAGGACATTTCTGTGGATGCACTAATTGTTTAATCTTAGCAACAGAAGTAAACACTAGTAGCAATTCTTATAAAGTTTGAGAGAGGGGGAGGGGAGGGAGGAAGAATGATACGAACTTGGGTGGGGGGGTTCAGTATTTGCAGGCACGTAAGTTGGCTCTGTTGCATTCAGCAGATATGACTGCAGCTCTCATTTTAATGAAAGGCATACGTAACTTTATGCAAGTGTAAGTTCGACTTTCTTGTTCTTCTGAAGAATCCAATCTGAGTTTTAAGTGACTCTTAAGAAAACCAATCAGAGCAAGCATTGATGACCTCATTCCAGTCTCCTGGGGAGATTACCTCATACAAAGACCTCAACGTACAAATATGTGGATAACATATTACGTTATGCGAAACCTTCTGACCCCAAGGAGACACTTATTCTATAAACTCTGAGTCATGAGACATAACCTGCCTTTGATCTGGATTTCTTCCTTGAACTGTTTGACGTTTTCCACACATCACTACTAGCAGATAGATTGGACCCTGACCTCTTCCCTTTTTACATTCATAAGTCATTACAGGATGCCTTTTGTACTGCACAGGGGTTATTCAAGGGATTGAACTGTTACTCCACTTAAATGTTTGAAATGAATGTGTAGTTGTCCTCACAACCCAACTACCCCACTGCTGTCTTTTGCTTTGTAGATTTTGGATTTGGGAACTTCTTCCAGCCCGGGGAGCCTCTGGCCACATGGTGCGGCAGCCCGCCTTATGCTGCTCCAGAGGTCTTTGAGGGCCAACAGTATGAGGGTCCACAGCTGGACATCTGGGTCAGTTAAGTGATTGCATAAGTAGATAAAATGTACCTCTTCTTTTTTTTACTAAAAACCCGAATGTTTCACTAAAAACAATTAAACATACTTTGAACTTACCTGCCAATAGTATCAACCTCCTTCCTTGTTTGCAAGTTATTATTTACTTACATATGAAATAAGATAATGCTATACTTGGTAAAGTGTTTGATATAAATATGTAACAATGAAAACAAAGAATTGATAATTAAGTCAGACGCTTTGGTTTCTGTGATATGGGATTGATTCCACTGCCACAGTTGGCAACCTTGTTGTAAATAGCAATCATTTACCAAATGTATGTGTTTCTGTGTGTGTGAAGAAATAATAATCTTAAAACCTTATTTACATCCAGGCCCCCTCTGATTGATTTAGCTTCTGACCTGACCTTGTTCTCTGTTTGTGCATCTTTCCATGTTCACAGAGCATGGGGGTGGTGCTGTATGTGCTGGTGTGTGGTGCGCTGCCCTTCGATGGGCCCACTCTGCCTGTACTTCGACAGAGAGTCCTAGAAGGAAGGTTTCGCATCCCCTACTTCATGACTGAAGGTAAAAAAGCCCCCCTGGGATGTTGAACACATAATAAGATGAGACTTATCCCCTTGCGTTACTGTACATTTGTGAGATGCATAATTCAAGCTAAGGTAAAAAAGGCTTGACATTCCTGTAAGAGACACTTCCAGTCAGAAGGATGGATTCCACCTTCCTATTTGAGTCACCATACTGGTGATTGGTCTCTGCAACCACTCAGGGGGTCATTTCATTAATGAGAGAGCATCACGCTCATTTGAAGGGGATACGGTACAATACACTCTGTCATTGTCCCCTGTAATATGTATACGTGCGTCAGTGTGCATGCAGGCTGCAGAGTGAGTCAGGTTGGCTAACTGTCACAAAGCAGCCCTGCTGTTAGCGGCTGTGCTAGCTAGCTGGCAGCAGATTAACTCTAGAGCTGGAGCTGTTTATGTAACCTGGGGAAGAGCCAGTGAAGCCTTCCAGCAGGTCGCCTGTCTGTCTCTCTGAGGAGACTCTGCCTGTCTGTCTGTTTGTTTGTCTGACTCACGCTCGCTATCTGTGAAGCATCTTCCTCTGTCTGTGGCCCATATTTTTTCTCTGGGACCCATCTGCAAGTCTCGAGCACTTTCTCCACAGGGGGTGTGGTGAGAGAGTCGAACAGATTTGTTCAGGACCTTGAAACAATTAGGATTTAAAGGGGAATGTAGGAGTATAATCTCAGCTGCATGGCCAGACTGACACTCAAACCCACCTACCCACCCCCAACCCAGCCCCTATTCTCTGAAAAAGGAGAACAGAGTGTGCTTATTTCTTCCTCCAGAGACAGTCCATCTCATCTCCTGTTGCTCCTCTCACAGGCCAACACTGTGGTACACAGCACAGCCTAGTACCGCACACTGAACACTCACAACGAAATCTCAGCACTGTGGATGTTGTTGTCTACTCCCAACTCACTTAATAACAACATAATGTTGTCTGATGTCACCCCTGATCATTTATATTACACAGACAGATCTGGTAAATAGTACTACATAATAATAAATAACAACATACTTTATAGCTTTTCTCAGGAACACAGTTACATGGAGTAGCCTGGAGTCACGTTATCAAAAAGGCCATCACAAAGTTTGTAAGTCCATGGTTGATGTGCTCAAACATCTCTATTCAATTAAATGTTGGCCGTAGCTGCCTGTGGCATTTTGTTTGTTTTTCTGTTCATTGTGGAAGTAAAAGTTACTGCACTGACATTAAATGTTTTAAGTTTAAGTCAAATCAAGTGATGTTTGAAATCTTTTGATTGCATTTTATTTAGAAATGTCTGTATTATGGGTTATGCTCATGCTCACATGAATGCATCATGGTAACATTTTACATATTGGTTTATAGTCTGTTTTTTTTTTTATTGGTCTGATCAATTAAATAGATAAGATAAACTCAACCACAGAGCCCTTCAAAGTCTTGCAACATATTCCTGTACTCCTTCATTGGGGGACTTTTTGCAACTCTACACCACTGGGACATTGCAAGTGTTAACAGGGATGGTTCTGTGGTTTAGTCATTGTGGTGTAATGTACTGGCTATGAACAGTGTGTCAATCAATCAGACAACTAGACGGTTACGAAGTGCTGGCCCTTTTACATAGTCCAGCCTTCCCTGGTGGTACGTAGCTGTAAAGAATGTGCTTAGCTTCAACTGTTGCTATAAACATGGCTGTAGCAACGAAAGTGTATTGCAGTGAACTGTATATGAAGCATGTTGTAACGTTAGCAACTCGCCAGGGATAAGAATGCGGTAAAAGTGCGAGGAAGGGCAGACTGGTTATGTATAACGGGGAAAACATTTATTTGGCTGAACCACCAGGCACGAGGTAGGAAAAATGTGATTCAAGCAGACATCAGTAGATCAGCACGGCAACTGGGAAGAATGTGAAGCTGGGAGTTACTGTTGGCAGCCTGGACATGGGCTTATGAACTGCTCTGTCTCCTAACTCTGTGACAGAAGACCGGATATCTGTGGACATTTGTAGAGCAGGAGAATGAAGGAAGAATGTTGCTACAATGTGTAAACATTTACTTCAACTCTTTGTAAACTCTGAAAGTTGAATGATGACGAGTGTCGCTTATTTTCAGTGCCTCTAAAGTGTCCAAGTAAATATATTTTAAAATGTTCTTCCAAAAGAGAACAACTTTAGTCACTTGAGCAGAGCAGCAGCATTGATTTGATGTTGAACTGCAAAGGCACATGAAAGACCAAACAACATATCGCATGTTAGAAGTTCTGTAAACGACATTCAGAACATTTGCTGTGTAGAGAAGATATAGTGTGTGTGTAATCATAGACTTGTTCCTTTGTTTACTGGTTGTTTATATCCACTGGCTCGATTTTTCACTTCACTCTGCACTGCGTTCAAACATAGGCTCACTCTGAAAATGCTGTTGAACCACCGCGTTGTTGCAGAAGCGTAAGACCCCACTCCCATTCCACCCCAGTTTAACGCTGTTAGCTATGTGAGCACTGTTGCTGTTGTTAGCGTAGCACGGCCAGCTGCAGCAATTATGGCCCAGTCCCTTCCATGAATGCTTGTGATGTCAGGGCTGAGAGATGTGAACCATAATGCATGTATTTGCCCTGTGATTTGGATCTAATCCAGATCTAACTTGGCCCATTCAACACCCTTTTGTGCTAGACAAACAAATTGAGTGGAGAACATAACCTCCTTGATAAATAAAGTATTGAAGATCAAAGAAATAATGACCATCTGCAGGGCTCATTTGGAAAGGACACAGTGGTTAGTCTTTAGCACTGCAGCAGCAAGGTATAAAGTAAAGATGCGTGTGGTGGGCAGGAATGCAGTGCACACAGTGGGGGTGCAGGCAGGCCAAAGCGGCACAGCCAGGGGAACTGTAATCCTGTTAAGAACCCAGCTGTGTCTGACGTCAAACTCATCTAGCCTCTAACTAGAGGTGAGGAGCTCTCATTAGGAGGGGAGGAAGGAAGAAAAGAGTGCAGACACGCTGCTCAGAAGTGATTGCAGGAAAACCAAGCACACAATTCAGCTGATAAATGATAAGGACATGACCCTTTATGACTTAATTTGCATTATCATAGCTTATACATAAAGTTCTCAGTCCTATCCAACATAAACCACCTCTATGATTGTTCTCTCCCTCTCCCCTCAGACTGTGAGCACCTGATCCGCAGGATGTTGGTTCTCGACCCATCGAAGCGCCTGTCTGTGGCTCAGATCAAGGAGCACAAGTGGATGGCTCTGTACGCCCCGGTGCAGAGGCCCGTCCTGTACCAGCAGCCTCTGTCTGATGAGGCCGAGGCGGGGGTGGGGGAGTACAGCGAGCAGGTCCTCAGGCTGATGCACAGCCTCGGCATCGACCAACACAAGACTGTAGAGGTGAGGACTTTGCCGCCATTATTTATTCAACAGGGGTGTGAACAGGTCAGGTTTAAAGGTCAAACTGTGACGTAGATAACAGTTCGAGTGGATCCTCTTTATTATCTTTCTATGATGTACATCTCATTAATATACATATATAATCTGTTCAATATTTTATATTAATATTCCATGTCATATATTTATGTATATATGTGACCAGCTCTATCGAAATCAGTCGGAAGTCGCAACGGCTCATTTAAAAATAAACGTGGATTTGCGTAAAAAAATAGTTTTCGGGGTTTGGGTGTTTTGCTTGATTTTAAATAAACAAAGTCTTGGCTTTCAGAATATAAAACTTTTATTTCCAAAATCACACGATAAATACATTTTTGAAGCTTGTAAAGGGAAGATGACAGGCACCTCTCACTCGCCACTCTGCTCGTCCTCGCCACTCTGCTCGTCCTCGCCACTCTGCTCTTCCTCGCCACTCTGCTCTTCCTCAGCGCCGCTTCCCCTCCCTCCGCAGAAATTATGAATGTAAGGGTATAGTAATCATAGATAACACGGTAGGGTACGTTACAGTTTGTTTTCATCTGATTTCAAATCAACAAAGTCTTGGCTTTCAGAATATTAAACTTGTTTCGGCAAATTCATTACATTACATTACATTGCATTTAGCTGACGCTTTTATCCAAAGTGACTTACAATAAGTGCGTTCGACCAACAAGATACAAACTTGAAGAAAACAGAATCATATAAGTACATCAGGTTTCATAGAGCTAAAACATTTCAAGTGCTACTCAACTGGCTTTAGATAAGCCAGCCCTTTATTAGTATATAAGTGCTTTGTTAGTAATTCTATCGCTCGAAGTGGAGTCGAAAGAGATGAGTTTTCAGTCTCCCCCGGAAGGTGTGTAAGCTATCTGCTGTCCTGATTTCAATGGGGAGCTCATTCCACCATTTTGGAGCCAGGATAGCAAACCCACGTGTTTTTGCTGATGGGAACTTGGGTCCCCCTCGCAGTGCGGGTGCAGCGAGCCGTTTGGCTGATGCAGAGCGTAGTGCACGTGCTGGGGTGTACGGTTTAACCATGTCCTGGATGTAGGAAGGGCCAGATCCATTCGCAGCATGGTACGCAAGTACCATTGTCTTGAAGTGGATTCTAGCAGTTACCGGAAGCCAGTGAAGGGATGATAAATACAACTTTGAAGCTGGTAAAGGCCCTGTCACACTGTCCCAAAATTGACACCCGATGGACACACGAATATGGAATTGTGAATTTCGCACGAAGATGGCCCCGAACCACACACGAAGGCAACATTTACATTACATTTAAGACATACAACTGCAATGAAAGTACCAAAAACAATTATGTTACAGTACTATGATACTGTACTGATATCTTCAGACTTTGTTCTTTACTTTATCCGTCGTTATATGTAGACAATATTACGTTTTCTCCGTAATGTTGTTTCCATAACAACAACAACTTCCTGTCAACTGTCCTTCAAAATAATATATTATATCCTTTTTAGTTTCACAGAACATAAATTGGGTTATTTACATAATATATTTACATGATTTTGTTGTGCAATAAAACAACCCGATGGACACACGATAAAGGAAATGTTCAAATTCGGCTGTGATCGTAGCAACATCGGGCCATTCGTGAGGGCATCTTAAGCCTTCGTATGACAGCCGGTGGAGTTTCTCAGGCTCCGGCAGCAACTTCGTGAGCGGTGGCAAAATCTTTGGCATGCCAAAAAATTGCCGAAGGACCTTGCGAAGGTTCATTTTCGTGTTGAATTTGTGTGTCAATTGTGCCCTTCGTAAGGCCATCGTGAGGGCATCTTGTTATCATCGGTGCCATCGGGCATTCGCCCCGATCAGAGTGAGGGTGAATGCACCGATGATAACACGAAGATGACACGATTTGACAAGATGCCCTCACGATGCCTTACGAAGTTGCCGCTCACGAAGTTGCTGCGGAGCCTGAGAAACTCCACCGGCGGTCATACGATGGCTTAAGATGCCCTCACGAATGGCCCGATGTTGCTACGATCACAGCCGAATTTGAACATTTCCTTTATCGTGTGTCCATCGGGTGTCAATTTCGGGACAGTGTGACAGGGCCTTAACGGCATAATTACAAGCGGAGAATGGAGTAACTTAACGTCACAGCAGGCATAAGAACAGCCGGTGTTTCTCGTGAGTGTTTCCCCGGGAAACAAACACAATACGCACAAACGCAAACATACACAAACACACACACACACACATACATACACACACACTCGCGAGCTTCCCCCAGACCAGTAATCCAAACGAAAATATTTTCCCTCCGTACTACTTTGATCATTTGCTCCGCTAATAATCAATCAGATCGATGGATTCCAGAGAAGAGGAAACTTTGAAAAATGATGACTCTGTGACAGTCATTATATAATGTGACATATTTCGCTTAATATTTGGAGTAGAACAACAATCCTAATATCATTAGAAAGCTAGGAATCTCCTCTTTCCAACAGAGTATACAACTCAAAATGTGTCTTCGGGTCAATGCGACTGATTTCGATAGAGTAGGTCACATATATATTTGTATATATAATATCTTGTCAAATTCAACATGTATATTTTCTATTTTATTTTCTTTCTTTTCTTGTTTATTTCAACAAAAACAATTTCCCAAATTGGGATCAATAAAGTACCATCTTATCTTTAACACAATATTATGACATTTCTTCACTATACTACAGCTTTTTGGGCATTTTAATGACACAAAATACGATACTACTTTACTCCTTTGACTTTTATTTAAATTATTAACTTTATAATATGCAAAGACTTTTATGACCTGCTACACATTTAACCGTGACGTTTTAATTACATTTAAATTATAGTTTAAGTATTTCATATTTGAATCACACATTTTACGACAATTTGATACTACTAAAAATTAGGGCCGGGACTTTAACGCGTTAATTAAGATTAATTAATTACACAAAAATTAACGCGTTAAAAAAATTAACGCATTTTAATCGCACTTATTTTTGCACCGCGGAACGTTTCTCACTGGATGAGTTTCAGGCGTACCGATTATACTGGAGCACCAACTAACGTTCATGACTTCAGACAACAACAAACCACAGTGAACAACAGTGGGAAATGTTGTTTTAAAAAACGGACGGATGGAAGCGTCGATAAGAGCACGGTTGTGTGCAAATTATGCAAAAAGGAATTCGCATATCACCGCAGCACATCAAGCCTCAAGTATCACCTCAATGCAAAACATATAGCAGCTAGCGTGGAAGCTAGCGTGGACGTTAGCCTCTTTATCGCGTTCACACCAAAAAGAGCCGGTACTAAAATTAGTTCATGAGAACCTTTTTACCCCCACGAAAGTCCCTGCTAGAGAGCAGAGAGCTGCTAGAGAGCAGGGACTTTCGTACGGCTCTCTTGTGAGAAAAGAGCTATATTTCTGATTGGCTGGGCGGATTGCAAACCCCCCCCCGTAAAACTCCCAAAAAGTTTTGTGAAGCCGCCATTTTATTATCCTTGCATTAGCATTATTAACATTAGCCCAGCGCAGAAACGCAGAGAGACTAACTTATGGCAACACAAAATAAAACATGGGAGCGGTGGAGATGAGGAGGTGTCGGCGTTCTGGCGATTTACTCGGAAGGCTTCAGTAGAAGCTGCTGGGACTCCCAGCAGCTTCTACTGAAGCCAGTCCCCAACTCCGGGGACTTCCGGCCGGGGACTTTGGGCGGCAGTATACGCCGTGAAGTGGTTTGCGGCCTGCCAGTAAACCCAAAGCAGAAGAAGAAGAAGTGACGTCAGCGGCTTAATTTGCCTAATCCACCCCCAGGTTCAAAGAGTTCTCATGAACTAAATTCTCATGAACCTTTGTGGGAAAAGTACTGCGGTGTGAATGCGCCTAATGGTATACTAAAATCCATGTGAAAAAAAATTGCTTCTCACTGTTCTTAGGTCAAATATGTATATGCGATTAAAAATGCGATTAATTTCGATTAATTAATTACAAAGCCTCTAATTAATTAGATTAATTTTTTTAATCGAGTCCCGGCCCTACTAAAAATATTATTCTTTGACAGATTTTCTGCCCTACAATACTATAACGTTTTTCCACTTTATGTTGATGTTTAAATATAATACTATCCTTTTTTTTTTGTATCATACTTTAATGTGTTACTTATTATATCATAATATACTATGACATTTTAACATGATCAGCAAAATATCAAAAATTATTATATGTGCATTTTTTGTTAAGCCCCGATTTTAAAGTAACAATTACATGTATCCACTTATCTAAAGTATGCTCATACTGCTTCAATAACCAATTGTTACACTCAAAAGAAAAAATAATTATCTCATCTATCTTAAGAGCTGTCAAAATTAAGTCTTTTAACAGAAGGTGTGCTTCAATTATATCTTCAATTACAGACGCCACCATTAAAGTTGTCTTTCATCCTCCAGTCTCTGCAGAACAAAAGCTACAACCACTTTGCTGCTATCTACTATCTGCTGGTGGAGCGTCTGAAGGCCCATCGCTGCAGCTTCCCCGTCGAACAGCGGCTCGATGCCCGCCAGCGCCGGCCCAGCACCATCGCCGAACAGACGGTCGTCAAGGTAGCCACGGGGCGTCACAGCAACAAGGGAGTCCTGAATAATGTGTACAGAGGTTACCATCCACGCCTCACTGATCAAAGCTACATTATTCACACCTGCATCCACAAACAAACGGAGGGACACGATCCATTCATGTATTTATCCGGCTGTCTTCACCTGCTTTTTCTCAGTCTTTTCCGCCCAGCCTTGATCTTAATGCGTCTCCCTCGGTTACATTATTCATCATGTTCCTTTCTTTGCCCACTGTCCCTCCTTAGGGACAAATTCTCTTTCATTTCCCCTCACCATCTACGATCTGGCTTTTTTGTCTGGCTCGGATTACAAAGTCCAATTCGTAATTGCGTTTCTATTAAGGATGTTGCAATGAATTGGAGAGGATGTTTTGATGTAATGTCAAAGTCTGTGTTTTCTCCCTCTCTGCAGTCGAGCAGTGGTTCAGCCCAGGTGGGTTTGCTCTCACAGGGTGTCCGTCTTCTGCGCTCCCCTGCTGTGCCCCAAGCCTCTTCAGATGCTTTCACCTTCCCCCCGACTGCATGTTCCCTGGAGCAGAATTTCATGGTAGAGGACGTCAACACGCCCAAAGTAGGTTTAACTACCAGTAAAAACAGCCTACGGATTCAGTGTCTTTTTTTTTGTGTGTGTTTGTCCTCTGTCTGTCACATTTGGCTTCTGAGTTATGGAAGTTGTAGTTGTTACTGTCATTATCGGCTTGCACAAGTATGTCCTGAAACATAATCCTGATAAGTCATTTGCTTTGAGAGTCATACCATCTCACTGTGAATCAGATGTGTATGTGTCAGACCCCTTTGAGGTTTCGAGCGTTGGTTTTCTCCGTCAACCTGCCAGAGTGCAGCTGACTTGTTCAGTTATGTAAGAACTCAGCCAGCACACACATCATACAGGACAGCTGCCTGTCCTGCATGGCTTCTAGACACACACACACACACGCGCACACACACACACACACACACACACACAATGCTCTCGCTCTTTCTCTGTTTATCTTTTCCAATGCCAACCAGCGACCTTTTTCTAAAGGCCTGTTGTTAAGCTGACTATTACAAACCACAGACACCATTGGTCTGAGTAGATAGCCTTACACACACACACACACACACACACACACACACACACACACACACACACACACACACACACACACACACACACCACACATAGATGCAGTATCATTCCTCAAGATTTCTTCTCCATCCCACCCCCTCTCCCCTCTCAGTGTGCGTTCTCTGCGTGAAAAGAGCTGGCTTATGTGATGATGATGATGATGATGATGATGATGTGATCTAATGTGAAGCTGAGTGAACACACATGGACAGGAAGCTGCTGCACTGCTCCAACAATCTCGTCAGCCGCCGTGACCCCCTACCCATCAGCCAACAGCACTTTTTCTTTTTTAGTTTTTGGCTTTCCTTTTCCTTCTGCATTCAGCCGCTTCTTCTCTCTCTTCGTCCTCATTTAAGTTCACTTTCCCCCAATGCCTTTTCATCGTCTATTTCTCAATGTTGTTTTCCCCTCTTGTCTTCAGTTTGTTTCTCTGTGCAGTGTGTCTCTGTGCGGTGTGTGCAGTGTGTGTCTCTGTGTGCAGTGTGTGTCTCTGTGTGTCTGTCGGTTGAATAACAGCATTCCTATCCCAGCACACTTCAGAAGGCAGATGGGGAATTGGGCAAAGTTGCTCTTTCTAGACCAACACCAGGCTTTCCGGTTACTGCCGCCACTCATGCAGATTATCTTTGTCTGTGTGTGTGTGGTTGCGTGTGTTTGTGTCAGTCACATAGCATTTTCAGTCTAAGCTCACTTCCTGTCCCTACATTCCTTTATCCCCACCCTCCACGCCAACACACACAGGCCTGCATGCTGTAACTGACACACACACACACACACACACACTATGATAAACTATGTTGAAGAGAAGGAAAACAGAAGAAGAGTAACTAAAAGAGCTCTCATTCTCAGTATGGGAGTCGTCTTTGTGTGTATTTTCTTGTGTGACGCCTAGTTTGACCAACAGTGTCTCCTGGTTGCCTATTTTTCAGTTTTTAATGTATAGTTATCGTTCTCTCTTTCTGTCTCACCTCTTTTCTCCCCCCTTTCTAGGTGAACGGCTGCCTGCTGGATCCCCTGCCTCCACCCACTGTCCTACGCAAGTCCTCCACCTCGTCGCCTAGCAACATGATGGAGATGTCGATTGATGAGGGCATTGAGACGGAGGAGCCCGATACTGAAGATGATCCGGCCCACCTGCTCTCGGCCTATCAAACAGCTCGGTTTAACCAGCGGCGACACACCCTCTCTGAGGTGACCAATCAGCCGGGGCCTTCAAACCAAAGTATGATGTCACTGTTCAAAAACACAACTATAGAGTCTGTCACAAGTATGTAATGCTAAAACAAAGATGTTAAACCGAAAGCATTGTGTCCCCCAGGTAAATTATTCACTCTTGGTCACAACCCTTCCATGGGCAGCATGGACTCGGACATCGGCTACGACATGGGCTCCATGCACAGCGACCTCGGCCTGCTGGAGGACCCCCCCTCTTTCAGTGAATTGGTACCAGGCAACAGCTCTACCCCCGGCGTTACGCCTACTCCTTTCCTGAGCGCTCGGCCCGCAAACCAAGCAATGGCCGTCCTGACGTCCCAGCACAGGGAGGCGCACAATCGCTCCCCCATCAGCTTCAGAGAGGGGAGGCGTGCCTCTGACACCTCCCTCACCCAAGGTCAGAACCACCAATTTGACTTTGCTCCAAATCCATTCAGTCTTCTTTTTGATTACTCTCACACATTACCCACTTCTCTATATGCACTCAGACTTCATTGACTTAATGTGTCAGGTATCTTCATCAATAAACCCAGGAGCTCCATTTTAGGGCCAACCTCAAAATGCACAAAGCCACTCTGTCACCTTAATAGAAAGTTTGACTGCTTGGGTTTACGACATTGCATTTTGAGTGCAGTTAAATAGACGATGTGACAGGAGGCTGCAAATGGAAAGATGATAATGTTTCTTGCTAACTGCCTGCAATAGACAAATCTTTCTTTAAAGGGGAGCTGATCCAAACTGCAGGCGCAGGATTAGGTAGTCATATCTATACTTTTTAGGATACTAATCAAATCCTTAAAATACTAATCCTTGGTACCACCAAGTGCTGATCCACATTAAATCAATCAGTGACGCATTGTGGTACTTAAGAACGCTGCTGGGTGAGAGAGTGTGAGCCGCTGCCAGGTGTGTGTGGTGCTGGTCGAAAGAGAGAGCAGATCAGAGAACCTGAACCGAATGAACTGTCGTTGATTGAGTTGCATTGTGGGAAATGCATGGCATAAAATAGATCCTTCTTACTTGTTTTTTTCAAAATGTCCATCATAAGTCTGACTGTTGAATTAAACCATACTTTTCTTTAATGCAGTATGGTTTCAGATTTTTTGGACATCTCATCTCTACACATCTGAAAGCAGCAAGTTCAGACATGCTCTTTACAGATTGCTGAAAGATATAATGTTACATAGGAAATCACTGTCTGCGGTGGAAGTGAACGTAACCGGTTGAGAAACATGCTTTGAAATCACAGGTCACTCATATATACTGTAATTGTCAATTATATTCTATATCGACATGTAATCTTATAGGCCCTTCACTACCAGCTGCGTGTAAATATAAGTGGCGATGTGCATATGGCTGAGGCTCTGGGATGCACCAGCACCAGTCAGGAGAGAGAGCATTGACACAGACGCAACGCCCTGCTGCAGCTGCTCCATCACACCCTTATAGACACATATATACATGTATCAATGCCTTCGGGGTTCGTCTTCTCTCTTCTACACACCATCTCTTCCCTTTTCTCATCCTCTCCAGCCTCTCTGACGACAGTGATGGTGATGATTCATGTTATGAATCACAGACATATATTTTTGAAGGTTTCAGCCCACATATCTCATTCTCTTCCCCCTTCTCTCTTTCTCTTTTTCAATCACTCTCCTTCTCCGTCTTTACAAGCTCATTTTCTGTATTGCTTTTCTTTATCTTATCAAAGTTTCAGTCTGTTACAGGCGAGATTCAATCTTTGTTAAATGTTTTCTTCATAGACACATTTTTCTGTGCCTAATGAATGTAAATCACAAAAGCTTTGGACCAGAATAAAAACTATAATAAAGCCTACAAATGTTACCTCCCTGCTCTACATCGGGGCTCCTTCAGTTTCTAAACGTCATAGTTTCTCACTGTACTGTACTTTTCAAATGTACTGTATTCTTCGTAGATTTTTTTTAAGTATATTAAATAAATAAATGCTCTTAAAATCTGACAGTTAACAAAATGTTTAGGCCTGAAGATTGCAGCTAGAAACTGTAGCTCATATAATGAAAATCCTACCTACCCTAAAATCACGTTTAAAAAATCATAAAAAGCATAATATATAATATGTCAAAAAGGAACACAAAATAAATGGTGTCATATTTATAAAGTAATAGTAAAGTTTGTCAAAAAAAATATGAAGAAATGTCATGGTATAAATTGTCAAGAAAGCCATAGAACAAATTATTGAAATGTCATTAAAATAAGGTATAGTATAATATGTCATTAAAATTGTAATTGAAAGTCATAGCTCTTTGTTGGGTCAAAAAAGTTAAATATATGCGATAAAAAGTAATGGTGTAATGTGTCATAAATTGACAGCCGCCAAAGTGCGCCCCCAGGTTCTATTTGTAGTTATTTAAATATTTATATTTTCTATAATCTTCTTTGGAGGGTGTTGATGCAGTGCACTCTTTTGCGTCAGACTGCTGACTCTGGTTTTAAATAACTCCCACCATCACAGTGAGTCAGGTCCTATCGTTCACAGCCACAGCTCGTCACCACTGGATGGGTCTTATCAGAGCTACTTGCTGTTGAACACACACACACACACAGTCACATGTGTACACACAAACACATACCCACAGTAGCTCATGACGCACATCCAGCCTCACTGTCAGAGGGGGGGGGATGAAAAGTGCTAACCATTCAGCCGCTCTGCTAACGTCACTGAGGATTGAGCCAGACTTGTTGCTTTTGACATCCTGTAAAGAAGAGAGAAATGCTTCTATGGATGTATTCTGAATACTGATTATGTATTGTGGCGAATTGTTTATGCTTTCAGGTCTCGTTGCGTTTCGGCAGCACCTACAGAACTTGGCCAGGACCAAAGGTATCCTGGAGCTGAACAAAGTCCAGATGCTGGTGGAGCAGATGGGCTCCGGGGAAGGGGCCGCCATGGGCCCCCTGGGACCACAGCACCACTTGCACAACCTCCTGGAGGTCAGTGCTACAGCATAATCACACAAATACATTCTTCATTAAAAATGTCCTCTAACCCAGGGGTTCCCAACCTTTATTGTGCCAAGGACGGCAGATCCATCAAAAAAAAAATCGCGGACCAGTTGTCAATTTTAACTGATTTTAATATTTACTCAACAACAGCAGGTAGCAACAGAGGCTAATTGTATGTAACAGCCTGAACAAATACTAGAACAAGATGCATCCAAAACATATTAACAACGTTTAACAAATAACCAGTGTCGTTTTTTGGTTTTTCGGAAAACGGAAAACCAAAAAGCCGACGTTATTCAGTTTTTAAACCAAAACGGGAAAACAGATAAATCAACGTTTTGGTTTGTTTGTATGATTTACGGATAATCCAGTGAATGCTGGGAAAACGAGGTGTTGTGTGGTGTGTGTGTGTGTGTGTGTGTGTGTGGTGTGTGTGTGTGTGTGTGTGTGTGTGTGTGTGTGTGTGTGTGTGTGTGTGTGTGTGTGTGTGTGTGTGTGTGTGTGTGTGTGTGTGTGTGTGTGTGTGTGTGTGTGTGTGTGTGTGTGTGATGTGTGTGTGTGTGTGTGTGTGTGTGTGTGTGTGTGTGTGTGTGTGTGTGTGTGTGTTGTGTGTGTGTGTGTGTGTGTGTGTGTGTGTGGTGTGTGTGTGTGTGTGTGTGTGTGTGTGTGTGTGTGTTGTGTGTGTGTGTGTGTGTGTGTGTGTGTGTGTGTGTGGTGTGATGTGGTGTGTGTGGTGTGTGTGTGTGTGTGTGTGTGGTGTGTGTGTGTGTGTGTGTGTGTGTGTGTGTGTGTGCTTGTGTGTGTGTGTGTGTGTGTGTGTGTGTGTGTGTGTGGTGTGTGTGTGTGTGTGTGTGTGTGTACCCCGGGGGTTGGGCACCCCTGCTACCCACCCTGTTCTCCAGCCTCAGTCCGTCTACTACCCTCACCTCGTGTTGCCCAGAAGAAAAGAACAGGCACCCAGGCTGTTGTGTAACCCCCGGAGAGGCAGCCAACTGTGGCTTGTTTACTGTCTCCAGTTCCCCTGGAGCCTAGGCCAAAGTGAATGCATCCATTGTTGAAGTCACTCAGACTTACCCATAGTAGTGACTGGCACTCAATGGGCCCAAGCTGCAATCACACACAAAGATGGGCACACATATACACAAAATGATACAGACACACTGCAAGGGGAAACCATTTTGAGGAAAGATCTGCAGGCTTTCCGGTTAAGAAAACCCAAATAAAATCTATTTTAAATACAGACAAGATCTAGTTGTTTTCCTTTTATCCATCTCTCATGATTTAATAGCACAGCTCTTTGTTGGTTATGATGCTGGGGCTCCATCATCCTTTTAATTTGCTTTCATTTCATTTAACTGCTGTGTAATCGCTGTGGTACATGCCATTTAGAGAAAGGCATCTGACTGATCAGCCACCACACAGGCATTTGTGCAGGCAGCATCAATAATCCAGTTAGACCACACCGTGAAGCCCCCAGACCCCGACACAGCTTTATGAGCCCACAGGGATACGTGTGTCCAGAGTAAGTGCATATACATGAACAGCCCTTTTCTAATGCTCTATGTTTCTGATTGAAGGGCGAGGCATCCAAGCAGCAGGAGGGCCTAGCTTTATACCAAGGTGGTCCGCCTCTCCTGTCCCGCAGACAGAGTTTAGAGACACAATACCTCACTCATAGACTCCAGGTACAGTCTAACACCAATGACACTCACTCTTAATGACTATACAGTTTATACCTGATACGGACCTGTGTTCCTCCTTCAAGGTCAAATGTCTGCTTAGTAATACGTTAAGTGATATTGTTTGGACATTTAAGGATTATCAGATCTGCTATGATGCAACAGTAATGAAATGGCTTGTAGCCATTGTTACCATGGTGATTACCCTGAACACAATTATCAGTCCCAATCTCTCTTCTGCCCCAAAGGCCAACGTCTTGGCTAACAGTCCTGCTAGCTGCCAACATTTCTGTCAGGACACTCGAACTTTAGAGCAACAGCTGCAGGAACACAGGTAACTCTCACTGAAAATACACTTTATTGCTTAGATTATTTATCTATTATTTATTTGTTTTTCATTTCATTCAATACTTTCACTGCTTTTTCTCTTGTGTTCTTTTAGCTATAGTGACCTTTCACTGCTGGGACATTTTATTTGGAGTAAAAAGCCTTTGTTTGAATTTAAATGAATCCAATTTAGAAAGATTAGTTATAAGATAAAAAGAGATAAAGGATTAATCCCCATAGCGAAATGTAGGCATCAACAGGAATGAAAGTGAAACACAGGATAGGATAGGTCAGAGTTCACACGACGAAAATAAGAATAGAAAATACAGAATGTTAGAAAAAGTATACATTGAAATAACAATAGGATAAGGTTAAACTGTTTATACATGAACAGATACATGTATACATGTATACATCTCTATGTGCCAGTGCAAGGTAGGTACATATTGTCATCACACCAGGAATAAAACCAGGTGTCATAGCAACAATTAGACAGAAATTATATTTTGTTTCACATCAGTCTTTTATTTCATTTCTGCTGATTTATATTAAAAAGGGGGTTATTTGTTTATGTTTTGACTTAGTTATAGTCACAGTTTGTGGTAGTCAACATTTTCATTATTAAAAAAAGATGTACTCATTCACGCTTTTCTTCATTTTTCTCGATGGATATAAACCAGTAGGAAACTATCTCTGTGCGAAGAAGTTGCCCCAATTCTCCCATCTACTAAGCTCTGATTGGTCGACAATTTCTTCAACAATAAATGATCACGAAACAGATTAGTGATGTTGACAGCAACTTGGTGGTGTGGGACCAGGCTTATTATTATGTCCACGTATGCGAAACATGCAGAAATATCCAGTTTTTGCCAGCTGTTTGTTATTCCTCATGTGTTGATCAAAGTGATTTTCTCTAAGTGGGGTGTGCTGCCCTCCCCACAGACTGCACCAGAAGAGGATGTACCTGCAGCAGTCCCAGGGCCTGGGGCTGCCGGTCTACTTCAACCAGATGCAGATAGCTGAAGGATCCTACCCGCCAAGGGGCCCTGGCCTGGACCCTGCGGGGTCTCAGGGCCCCCCCATGTCAGCCCCCCAGCAGCAGGTCAGTCCTCATCCCTCGCCCCCCTTCAGCCACCCCCACAGCATGAGCTCCCTGATGGAGCCGGGCCAGGGCCTGGTTTATGATCCTTACATGAGCCACCTCCACTACACCCAACAGCTCCCCCCTGGAGCCCACCTCCACCACCAGCTCCACCATCCCCTCCCTCACGATGCCTCTGCCAGCGGCCTGGGCTTCAGCTACCCTGCAGGCTGTGAGCAGCACGGCCTGGGACCTTCTTTTGAGGGGCTTCACCCAGACCAGTCCCAGTACCTGCTGGACCCTGCTCTGTTGCCCCTGCATGCCTCAGGAGACGCTGAGGCCGGGGGTCTGGGGGGTCCCGGCCACATGGAGGGCCTGGGTCTGCAGGGCCTGGACAGTGAAATGATGGAGACCGTGGACTCCCAGCACGGCTTTGTACTGGTCAACTAACGCCAGCTGAAGGTTAACAGAAAGCAGTATTAAGCAAACCCTTACAGCACGAAGAGCAGAGAGAATGGAGATATAAGTGGAGGCCATATGCGTAGCAACAGGGAAGGAAAAGTGTCAATTTTTGTATGATTTAATACAAACTTCATTTCCTAGTGGTGATGAACGTCAGACAACCTTTTCTGCCACGCCCCCCCTTAGCATATCTTCCTTTCTCCCTCTATTCCTCTGCTCCCTTCAGCTCTGTGAGGCAGGTCCGATATCTGGCACCATGAGAGCTTTGCCGTGCCCGTGAAGACTGCGTCGTGCAGCCGAGTGACGCCGCACATCCTGCCAGAGCGCCGCATTTCTCCTAGAAATGTTTTGGAAGTGAACTCATTTAGGACTGACTGTCAAACAACCATAAGGACAATGGCTGGCAGTGCTTTTGTATTTAAATAGGACACCACCAACAGTAGACTGATTCTATAAAGACTTCTGTGGATTTCTTTTTTTCTAAAAAACAACTGAACAACAGAAAATAGCCCTCATTTATCACGGTACCACGAATATTGCCGCAAATTCAAGTGGTTTTTTTCTCCATTTTATACAAATGATTTTACAAACTAATGTGAGTGCAAGGCTAATGTCATGGCCGTATTCAAGCTTTCAACACTAACGTATACATTACTACTCCTAACAATCATCAGGTAACTCTTTTGTCATTTGCTTAAACAAATACCTTAATCATGCAGAAGAAGCATCAGGTTCGCACCATGTTAAGCTTTTGCTATAAACAGCGCTAAATTCTGAAACTAGTGAGTGAAAATAATAGATACCGCACAATTCTGTTGCCTCAGACTTTGTGTAGGCGTCGGACATAAATAATATTTGTTGGTTTTCTTTGTGTTTTTATAAATTGTAACTACTGATCCTGAGTTATTTCCTACACTACTGAACTGCTTTTCCCCCCACCTGTACATTCAATTGCGCACGCCTGCCAGGTCTCATGGGAATGAAATGGCCACACGGTGCATACACCAGTTGAATTGTGGGTCATGCGTTTGCCTGATAAATGAGGGCTGATGTAATTAACATGTTTGGTTGAGAAGTAGCGTTGTTTTAGACAGTCCATATTATTCTATTTTTGTGGCAATACTGAAGCAATATTAATCCTTAATGTTGAGGGATTATGAATGGAAGCCTCACCTGTACAGCCAACTCTAATTGGTTCCTGGGGACCTCTGAGTCATCAGCAGTGACATCACTTGAGCCGATGATGTAACCAGGAGATAATCCCCCCCCCCACTCTCCCCTCAACCTGGAAGTGTGTGTGTGTGTGTGTGTGTGTGTGTGTGTGTGTGTGTGTGTGTGTGTGGTGTGTGTGTGTGTGTGTGTGTGGTGTGTGTGTGTGTGTGTGTGTGTGTGTGTGTGTGTGTGTGTGTGTGTGTGTGTGTGTGTGTGTGTGTGTGTGTGTGTGTGTGTGTGTGTGTGTGTGTGTGTGTGTGTGTGTGTGTGTGTGTGTGTGTTGTGTGGGTGTGGGTGTGGGTGTGGGTGTGGGTGTGGGTGTGTGTGTGTGTGTCAGAGTGATTATGATTGTTTGCACAATTCTTCAGATGTTCTGCCTCCATCACATCATTTCTTGGAAAAAGACAAACACTGTATTTACGTCTCCGTTTACAAACAACACAAACTGTGCTTTTCCACTCAGTGCACAGTCGTAGCTTTTAGATGAATTCTGGTTTACATCCTCCATGCTCCAGTCATGCCTCTGTGGTGTTTTAACAATGAATCATGTTTATTATAATGACGCGTTGAAGATCCCCTGCATTAGATTTCATGAAAGAATGTTTTCCTCTCTGACATTGAGGCCGCTGTGAGACAAAGACCGGCCGAACATCTGTCACCTGACACTGGATTTAGACTACCGGCTCACCGCCGCTCTCTGACTGACAGCGAAACATGAGAGATTTTTTTTACAGAACATATACTGTGTTCAATCTACTTGAAGCGCACAGATGTATCTTCTCTGACAGATGATGATTTCTTCTTAAAAACAAATGCTTTTCCTTGGAATAACAGGATAGTCAGCGTCAGAGGGTTGGGATGAGATTATTGGACTGCGACCATCTGCCAGACGGCCCGACCTTCAGCGGTTGTGGGTTAAACTGTTCAAGTGTTTTTGTCAGATTGGCCTTCAAAACACGACTGTTGCTCTCAGCCTGTAGACTAGACTACAGATAAGTGAGAGTTCACAACCAGAGTGTGAAGAGTTTGCCTCTGAGCCTCCAATAGTTAACAGTCTTAAATGATGGCTAGGAAATGTGGACCAACTGTGGTTGCAGTCCTGTGTGTGACTTAAAGGAAAAATCCACCCTAAAATGCTTTCAACACTGTCTCACAACTAATTAACCTAGCAACCAATGATCACATGTTCTGTTGACTTTGTATGTATCAATTAGGTTTATAAAATGTCAACATTAAAAAGAAAAACCCCTTGTTCTTATTTCTCAGGGCTCAAATTAACATATTCAGTTTGATCTGACCAACGAAGGAACAATATGGTAGTTAAATTACTTCATGACTACCTATATTAGCTCTACTGCATTTCTTCTTCAGTGGTGTACTTTTTAAATCCTCTCTATAATTGATTGATCCATCACATTGAGATTTAGTAAGTCACCATTTAGCCATGACATTTAAAAGTTAAGAGGGCATAGATACTCATCACCCAAGGACAATGGCCTTGACAGACCAGAGTGCGCTGCAGTCATGCTGAAAAACAGGTCTTGTGGTTTCGTTAATAGTTCCACCCTAAAATGTACAAATACAAAATGCTCATTCGGACATACACCCATATTTAATGACAGGAATAAGCTCACACCCAGTTTGGTCATGTTAGAAAGGGAAGGAACTCAAATACAACGGGGTTTACAGAACACAACACTAATACTGTCGATACATGGCAGTGTAAAAGTATCAAAGGGTGGATTTTGCCTTTAAGTGAATGTGATTGTTTGCTTTCATTTTGTCAATGGTCAGGCTAGAACAGCTACAAGATGATCTGTGGAAGTTGAAAATTGGAGCACTTTGACAACAAGGGGAAGAAGAGATGTAGCCAGAGAGGAGGAGGAGGAGGGAAAGGTTTGTTTTGCTCTGCTGTTTCCTGGCAGGTCAAACCAACCCTAATCTGTAGGAAACCCCTTTCTCGTGTCTCTCTTCCTCACCAATAATGGACACAAAACACATTTCTTTCAAAGAAAGACCAGACACAGTCAAACTTTACCTGATTGTTTATTTTAATCCAAGAAAGAGAAACATTTGTCAGTTTACGGCGAGTGATCTTTGTATAAATTAGTGGTGTAGTGAGTGACTCATCGGTGCACCAAGGTGAATTTTGTGTTGAACGTGAAAAGTGTTCAGTGTGCCTTTTTACTTTTTTGTATTTTTAATCTGAATTAAGATTTTGAATAGCACCATTATTTCTGGTTGGACCCTTTTTCTCATTTATTTTCTCATTACTTTTTTTGTTTTTCTTCCCAAAAATAAGTAGAGCCAGGTTTTACAAAGGTACAAAACCAAAGTCCCTCTGTACGAAGTTTCCCTGTACGACCCACCGTGTGGAGTTTTGGAGCTTCTTTTGTCTGCTTCTCTACCGTGCTTTTTTTCTTGTTGGTCAATCAGTGTATGCCATTTAAAAGTATTATAGCAATATTTCTCTAGTTGAAGAATAAAGTCATGAAGATTCTAGTGGACGTGTTTCCAAGTATCATCATTTCACCTCCAGCTGATGAAACAAAAACACCAATCTATCGATAAAAAAACTATTTTATATTTACATTCTTTGATGTTGACCATACATAAGCTAACTTGCTGTTGAGATTAAAAAAAGGTTTATTGAACATAACATTTTTGTCTTTTTTTATTTGTGTGTTGGGATAATACTCAGCTGTTTGTGGTCCTCTTGGTTATTGAAGTGTTTCCTCCCACACACACTCTGCTACCTTCCCCACAAAAGGACATTTTCCTGTAACTACATACTGCAGCTGTGTGATTGCACCCCAGGGTGTCATGGTGTAGGCGTGGGTTAATGACCTGGAAAAATTCACACCAAGTGCTCCACATAAACTGTTGAGTCACAGCTGAACCTGAAGTCTTTGCAACCAGAAGCTCCCGAGGCCGACAAACTATAGGAGCTGCAGAACACGACTCGTCATTTAAATATATGTATTCTCTAAAGCTTGACTTTAACTGCAAACAAATATTTTTAGTGACAGGGTTAATGTGATCACAGTCCTGCTCACAGATGGGTTATATATCTCCAGTGAAGTACAGGAGATGACAGATGTGTAGTTCTCCGATCACAACAAAATAATCAGTTATCAAGAGGTTAATAGATTATAAATGTTCACACGTCAGTGGATGACAGCGTACCTGGAATGAATCACCCGAGGCAGAAGGCTCTACCCAGCTGTTCTGACTTTCAGGTGAGGAGACAAAAGAGCAGCAATGAGTGTCAATCAACTCGGCATCACCATCAAGAGGAACATTCCGGTGTTTCCAGAGCTGACCTGCTGAACAATTCACAGCAGCACTTTCACAGAAGTACAAAAGTCCTTCCACCGAAACCAAAAGCAAATAATAATAATAAGAAGACATCTCAGAGACAGAGAATCAATCTATCTTTTAAAGTGTATTTATATAGCCCAATATCACACATTTTACATTTGTCTCAGTGGACTTTAGAGTTTGTTAAGAATATGAATATGACACCCTCTGTCCTTGGACCCTCACATTGGACAAGGAAAAACTCCTATGGAACCCTGCAGTTAATGGGGGTGAAAATTGAAGAAACCTTGGGGAGAGCAACAGAGGATGGACTGACATGCAATATATGTGGTATGTCAATTAAAAAGATAATACATTTGCAACATAGGTAGTCCAAATGCTTGAAAATGCGTGTGTCTATAATAATAATAAGATTAATTCAGGTGGATTTCAACAATCCTTTGGGAGCCTTCAGGGACAAAAGCTATCAAAAACTAAACTGGCTGCTCTTTTTTTTTACAAGTTGGTCACACCGAACGAACCCTTTAAAACTCCATGATGTATCTAGACTGAAACACACCTTTCATCTTAAAGGCATCTTCCAGACAACTAAGCACACATCCCTGTTGTACAGTTAGCTGTGAGCCTCTGTAGCATTTTGCAGGCTTTTATACGGAGTGTTTACAGACAGGAAGAGGGACTGAATAATTAATCTCCTCTGATAAGCACCGGGGGCTGAGATCTCTGGTCTGACACCACCTCCATGGCAACTGCCTGTCAATGTTTATCAAACTACATGAAACTCAAACACGTTTTTTTCTGATAGTAAAGTGCAGCTGGAGGAGGCCTGTCCTCAGCCGAGCTCTGATTGGTTGACCTCAGCTTCACATCTGTGAAGAAGGCTGCCACTGGGAATACATTCAGAGTAGAATACTGCTGCTACAAAATGAAAGCATGCCTCTATGTTGTTTAGAGCAGAGGTGTGTCCCTGTTGTGTGGAAAGGATCATGAAGAGGGACGTTCAATCCAATCAACCCACACACAGGACAGCTAATCCACTACCAGAGTAGCTAAGGGAAGGGGCTTCATGGAAACCAGGGTCTCATTTCTTTTCCTGTGATCAGACCATGTGCATACTGATAATCTGAAACATGGGATGGGTCACACTCATACTGATCAGATTTCAGTCAACTAAGCCTCACATTTAGCATCTGTTGCTTTTAATGCAAAGTGATTTTGACACTGAACAGGGCTGTGAGACTGGCTTTAAATTAAACAAAA